AAATAAAAATAAAAATAGTCTAGTGATACAATGGGAAACTGGGGCAGAGTTAAAGCTGAAGAACACTGTAAGAGTGTATAGCTGATAAGGGACAGGGGAATGTAAAAGATGACTTTAAGCAAGTAAGACTAGGTGAATGGGAACATTGTAGCATGAAAGAATCAAATTCTTTATTAAATTCCTTATTTTAAAAATTCTGACCCAGGGGGCTGGGAAGGTGGCTCAGTGGTAGAGCACTTGCCTTGCATGCATGAGGCCCTGGGTTCGATTCCTCAGTACTATAAGCAAAAAGAAAAAAGCTGGAAGTGGTGCTGTGGCATCTAAGAGACAGCACCTTTAGTTCAAGACCCAAGACCAGCACACACACAGACTTACTAACAGAGATACAAATACACCACTGAAGTACTCAAACATGAATATTCCACGTACAGGCTGATCGTCTCTAACATAAAAATCTGCAGCTCAAAACAATACCCTAAATCTGAAACTTCTTGACTAGTAACATAATGGTCACAGGAGGAAAATTCCACACCTAACCTCCAAGATAGGTCAGTCAAAACATGAAAAGTATTACAAATATTATGTAACACTACCTTTACAGTACTTGTAGGAGATATACACAAAACACAGAATTTCATGTTTAAACTTGGATACCATCCCTGTAACTCCTAATGTACATGCTAATGTTTCTAAATACAAAAAAATTCCAAAATCAAAATCACATCTGGATTTCTCTGAAGCATTTCAGAAAGACACACTCAACCTGTACTAACAGTCTACCTTCAGTTACAGACTAAATGTATATATCCCTCACAATCCAAACATTGACACCTCACTGGGAGATGTGATGGTATCTGGGAGAGAGCCTTTACGAGGTGATAAGAGTTTGGTAGGATTAGAACAGAGTAGAGTCTCTGTCTCTTCTCTACAGAAAAGCCACAGGAGCACAGACTGAGAAAACAGATACAGTGGCATCATGTAGCAGACTTCGATCGGACTGAAAACCTCTAGGACTTGGGACAATTAATTTTTGTTATTTACAGCATATGGACTATGGCCTTTTAGGTTTTGTTATGACAGTCCAATTGTGCTAAGACGGTTCAGTAAAATATGGATTATTTGTCCACAAAATACTATCAGTGGGACCAAATATCAAGTTCAAGGTGTTCACCTTGGAAATTAGTTACTAGAAGGCCCTGGTATGGTCTTCTTTATCTCAAAAAGTAACTGTGAGTTTTCACAACACTATTTTTAGAAGAGCCCACAGAAGTATGTCCAAAGAGGTCATGATGGAAATAATACTAGGGGACTTTATTTCCTAGCAGAAGAAATGCTTATCTTGATTTTTAAACCTCCATAATCACAAAGAGGAATACAGGCCTTTGAACTCGACATGGGAAAAGGAACGGAATTCCCCATCTAGTGGGCGGGCGGGGAACACAGTTGTGTTTAAAATACTGAAAGGAAGACTGTTTCCTCCTCAGGATGCTTATGATGATCCCACGTTACTACACCTAGTTACAATAATCAGTTTATTTAAGAGCAAAATGTCCTTTGTGATGCAAATGAAGAGTATGGTCTAAGGATGTCATTCTTCTAATGGAAGAACAAAAATCTATTTAATATGGAATGAGTAAAGTAGGCTGAGGGAGATAATTTTTAGTGGCTACAGGAAAAAGCACAGTTAGGCTTCAGGCGTTTTATTCCTGGGAAAATATGTATAGAGAAAACTTAAAATATTCTTTGATTAGAAATATACATGTACCCATGTAATAACAGAACATGTGCATTCTGCTAGTAGGGCATAAAAGAAAATAATATTCATGAAAATCTCTTTAAGAACATCATGACAGAAGTTAGAAAAATCCTATAGTCAAATTCAAAATGCCTTTTGTGAATTTTTTATCTCCTACAGTAACCTAGAAAAGTTCTCCACTGAGTAAAAAAAAAAAAAAAAAATATATATATATATATATATATAAAACAGGAAATCAAATACCATTAAAATTGCAGATCAGAAAATGAATTCACCCCTGTCTAAAAGACTGCAAAAGATACAGAGAAAAATACAGGGAAGCTGAATAAATACTGGCTGAACTATAGAGAAACTTAACAAGTTGATCTAGAATAAACATTTGGTTTCCTTTTAATGAACAAAGTAAGTATCTCAAAAGTAACTCTAAAAATGGTTACGAAAGTCTAATATTATGTATGAGTGATGTCTATGTTAAGCACCCAACTAAAAAAATCTGTAAACCAGGCGCCGGTGGCTCACGCCTATAATCCTAGCCACTCAGGAGGCTGAGATCTGAGGATTGTGGTTCAAAGCCAGCCTGGGCAGGAAAGTCCATGAGACTCTTATCTCCAATAAACCACTTGAAAACCAGAAGTGGCACTGTGTCTCAAGCGGTAGAGCACTCGCCTTGAGCTGAAGAGCTGAGGGACAGCACCCAGGCCCAGAGTTCAAGCCCCACGACTGACTAAAGAAAGAAGAAAAAGGAGGAGGAGGAAGAAGAGGAGGAGGAGGAAGACAATGTCTAATTGCTAAAGCTTGAGGTGGGCTTATAACAAGATCCTACACTGAAACATAATGTCGCCAACTGCTATGACTACACTCAGTCATATCCACATATTTCCAAAGTTTGCTTTTCTCTGTAGTGTCTTTTTCACCCATGCTAACCACACAGACTAAAGAAGCCTATTTATGATTTTATAATGTCAGAGATTACTGACACATTACACATTACACACATGCTGACTCTGTCCTGATCAACTCATCCCTCAGATGAGAGCTTTTTGAGTACTTGTGGTTCTGTTCCTTCCAAAACACAGTGTTTCAAAGGTTCTCAAGGAACAAACACAGAGAAGCCACACCTTCCTTCCAATTACCACTTAAAATGTTTCTATTACTTCTAAGCTAATAGCATGTCTGGACGAGTGTAAAATTGCTACCACTGGGAAGAAAAATATTAGTATAATATTTCTTGTCATAGATTCCTAAACTGCTAATCTTCATCCAAGGCAAACAAGCTTTTGCACACATACCACAGATCTAGGAAAATGGTGAAGGAGGTAAATACAGCATCACAAAGACTACTGGAAAGAATGGAGCTTGAAGGACAACGTTCCAGTCCCCAAAGAGAATGAAGTATAGGAAGCTCTACATACACATAACAGAAAGACAGGAGTCTGAAGGATTAGGGAGTTATTTCTCACTAATTAGGAGTCAAAATACTTTGGAAGGAAGAAAAGGCATAAATTGACCTGCTGCAAGACCTAGTATAGATGTCCTATTGAACTACACAATTTAAAAAAAGGTCAAGTTAAAAATGTTATGTATCTAACATAGAAGCACTGACTGGTCTGGGACCAAACAGTGGGCTTTATAATACTAAAGAGTATCTGATACTGTGGGCTCAGGTGTCAGAGGTTAAGTTGTCAAATACATTCAGGGGCAGAGGGCATTTCTATGTACTTTCTCCTCATACAAGTCACACTAGGAAATACCTGCACTGGGTAAACATCCATTTTTTGGCTGTATTAGATTATTTTTTTTAATGTTTTGGTTTTGAGGACAAAGTTGGAATCTTCCTAAAATGATGTAACTTTAGTTATAGTGTAAGTTAGACCTTAATCTTCCTAAATAATCTTTAAAGATTATTTTCAAACTCTGTTGTTTTTTTTTTTTTTGGGGGGGGGGGGGAGGGTCCGGTCGTGGGGCCTGAACTCTGGCCTGGACGCTGTCCCTCAGCTCTTCAGCTCAAGGCTGGCGCTCTATCACTTGTGAGCCACATTGCCACTTCTGGCTTTTTTGTTTTTTTTCCTGCTTATGTGGTGCTGAGGAATCGAACTCAGGGCCTCATGCATGCAAGGCAAGCGCTCTACCACTGAGCCATCTTCTCAGCCCATTTTCAAACTCTTGATTCCAGGTAATGCCTCTTCATTCACTTTTCTCAAACTATGTCAAAAGAAGGGACATGGGCAAGTAAACTGCAAAGACAAAGAGAAAAATCTACTCGAACTCCATAAACAAGATCTATTGTATTTGGGGGAGAAAGGAGTAAGTCTGGAAATATTAGCACTTCCATCATGTGTTCCAAAGTTCCCCATTCAGGTTAAACTTGCTCTTTGTGAAGGTTTTTTTTGTTTTGGGTTTTTTTGCTTGTTTGTTTGTTGTTTTGTCAGTCATGGGGCTTGAACTCTGTCTGTAAGCTCTTTTGCTGAAGGCAAGGGCTCAACTTCTTTGAGTCCAGTGCCATTTCAGTTTTTCTAGTGGCTAATTGGAGATAAGAGTTTCACAGACTTTCCTGCCCAGGTTGGCTTTGAACCGTAATCCTCAGATCTCAGCCTCCTGAGTAGCTAGGGTTACAGGCATGAGCCATGGTGCCCGGCTAAAATTGGTTTTCAAAGGCACTGCACTGGTATGAAATTTCCTCATTCAAAATAAGCTTCAGGGAACCTTCTGAAAGGCACAAATTCTTCAAGCAAGAAAATGAAGTATTTACATTTTTTACTATTGCGGATACATTCTACAAGAATGATTCATTCATGTGATAATGCAATGAAAAACAAACATAAAGTTCCAAAAGACAGCTAACACATTTAAATTATGTCAGCACTATACTTAAGAGTAAAACATTGCACTGCTTAAATTCTACATAATCCAAAATCTGTAATGAGGCATGGGAAGATACCAAGAACTCACGTCCCATCCATGTTATTTGGAGGAACCCGACTCTAACATAATAGAGACAATATGATGTCTTTCCAGAACCAAGAAGAAAGAGAAGATGCGTGATGAAGCCTATCTCAATCTACAATGTTAGTTGTACCGATCTGAAGCTTCCAGGTCACAGCCACATTCAACCCCAGGCTTGTTTCCCTGCAGTAGATCATGCCATGCAGAGCAGACACAGAAAAGCTGGAGTTATCCACAACAAAATGAAACAGCATGAAGCAAGCTCCAGAGGTACAAGGCTGAATTAGCTACATGAGCTTACCATATATCTCCGATCTACTCTCCTCTGAACTAGACTTTGTCTTCTTGGAGGAGCTATCTGCACAGGAGCGGGAGAAAAGGAGAGATATAGAAAATATGGAAACCAATGTAAGGGGGGAAAATTCATGGGGGTAAAAAGAATGAATCATGATCAAGTTAAATCGTGCAAACATGAGGTATGGACATCACAGGTGAAAGCATTTAGAATAGTCATGAACAGCACAGGTAATGACATCTTTTAAAGATTTATCGAAGAAAAGACAGTGCAATAAAAATACAGTCATACAAAACAACACATGAATAATCTACAAAATATATAATCACCTGGCAATTGCAGAGATGAAAAAAAGCACCAAAAGTTATATTAATGAAGGATCATATCTCTTTGTTAAATCTGTCGTTGGATCTGGACCATCATACATGAACAATACAAAATAAATCTAACAAAACTAAAACATTTTCATGAATACAGGGCAGAAACCTGTGACCTTTATTATCAAGACAATAGCTAATCACATAAATGAAACCCATGAACCCCATGACTTCAAAACTATGTGTCAGAAATAGAGAATCCCCTCTTCCTGGAGATCTGTAAGTGACCAAAGCCTCCTAAACTGATGCTAGAATTTCCTTTCCCCCATTGGCCAAGATATAGCTTAACTATTAGCTGTTTGCTTCTTAGTTGTTCCTTCACAGATACTTTTATTTTTGTTCAAAATTCAAGACCAGTTTGAACTACAAGTATGAAACACTGTAACTATATACAAAAAACATATTACTCAATTAATTATGGGAAATTATATTGCTAAGTACAAATATCTTAAAAGATGTTACATTTATGTATCTGGGATTGCAGCATTTACTTTATCTTTTGTAATGGGAATATACAACTCAGTTAAATAATACACGCTCAAAGAAAATGTATCAATTTCAAATAACAAAAGAAACTTAAGCCATTTTTTAAAGTTAAATGTTAAGTTTACAAGGAGAAGAAAAAAGAAAAAGCCTAAATTCCACAAGAGAAATTCTCTATATCTGAAAAAATACCTATCTATTGGGGAAAAAAACAACACTACAAAGGTTAAGACAGATCTGAGTTCAGAAAAACTTTTAATTCAAGGAAAGGGGATTTGGGGCTGGGAAGGTGGCTCAGTGGTAGAGCACATGCCTTGTATGCCAGAGGCCCTGGGTTCGATTCCTCAGCACCACAGAAGCAAAAAGAAAAAAGCCGGAAGTGGCACTGTGGCTCAAGTGGTAGAGCGCTAGCCTTGAGCTGAAGAGCTGAGGGACAGCGCCCAGGCCCAGAGTTCAGGCCCCATGACCAGACCCAAAAAAAAAGAAAAAGAAAAGGGGATTTCTGTTCATTTGCTTATTAAAAATGAGAAAAATAATTCATTTTTGAAGCTGTTGTCACAACAACTGAATTCTGAAATGATGCAGAAGCAGTGGTTGTTCCAACCTTGATTTGATGACAAGTACTCTTACCATGACCCATCTTAACAGTAAATCCTTGATGTGACCCAAATCCAAGCATGATGTAGCTGTTTCTATCATTATCATTATTCTTAAATATACAAGGATGCATCTATCTGGAAGTCCAAAATATGAAAGTTAAAATGTGTGTATCCCTGATAAATGCCAAGGGGATGCTATATGACCGGGGGTGGGGGTGGGGGCTGGAAGAGCACTAATGACAACAAAAAAAACCACCACTCCTGGTGCCTCAGGATGCTTAGGCTCTACCATTCTGACCCTCATGATTCTCAATATTTTTTGGAAGAATTAATACAGTGTATTTTACCTGTAGGGTCAAAATCATGTGATGTACTGCGTTCAACTTTCTGCTTCTTATCTGTTGGTGACTCTCGGTTCAAAATACTTCCATGCCTAAATTAAATCAAAGCAACCAAATATTTACTATAAGAAAAGCATTAGAATAATATTCAATTTAAAAATTAAAAAAATGTGTTTTACAAAGAGAGAGCAACATAAGCTTCTCTATGTTTTTCAAAAATTTTAAAATTCAATCTATGCTATAATACATATCTACTCATTATTAAAGTATATTTTATTCTTAGAAAGGGCTGTTTATAGTATATAATAGTTTTTACATGTCATCATGATCCTTTCTTTAAAAAAAAAACAAAACAGTGCCTAAAAGTAATAAAACATGTCCCCAAACCCTAAATATACGATGGCCAAGCTCAGAATCACTGAATGAGTACAGCATGCAGGAGAAGAGTTGACAGCACATTTAGCTGAAGCCAGACTCACTTTAGCCCCACCTCTATGCTCTAGCCACATAAGTCTCAGCCAATCACCTTAACGGCTCAAGAGGCCCTCACAATATGATGTTTTTCTGTGACCTAGCCATTCATTGATCAGATAACGGCTTGGCAAAACAAGACCCTAACTATGATAGAGAACTATTGATTAAATGAAATGTTAGTGATATCATTAAAAATGATAAAAATAATATAATTAGGAATGGCATACTGTCAACATTTTAAACAGTATTTATGATTAAGATGAAAGAGAGGAGATGCTACATCACAAGTACTGGACAGGAGTATTTCTTCTTGAGGAATAAACACTGATATGAGCACTAGCAAATTTTTTGAACATTCTGGGTTTTGTTTTGTCTTAAAATAATTAGGATGTAAGCCGGGAGCCGGTGGCTCACGCCTGTAATGCTAGCTACTCAGGAGGCTGAGATCTGAGGATCTTGGTTCAAAGCCAGCCCGGACAGGAAACTCCATGAGACTATTATCTCCAGTAAACCACTAGAAAACCGGAAGTGGCGCGCGCGGTAGCTCAAGTGGTAGAGCACTGGCCTTGAGCTGAAGAGTTCGGGGACAGCGCCCAGGCCCAGAGTTCAAGCCCCACGACTGACAAAATAAATAATAATAATAATTAGGATGTAGTGAGGCGCCGAAGGCTCACACCTATAATTCTAGCTGTATAGGAAGCTGAGATAGTAAGGATCATTGTTCATATCCACCCCTGGCAGAAAAGTCTCCATGAGACTCTTATCTCCAATTAACCACTCAAAAACCAGAAGTGGCACTGTGGCTCAAGTGGTAGAGTGTTGGGCTGGGAAGTTGGCTCAGTGGTAGAGCACTTGCCTTGCATGCCTGAGGCCCTGGGTTCGATTCCTCAGCACCACATAAGCAAAAAGAAAAAAGCCGGAAGTGGTGCTGTGGCTCAAGTGGTAGAGCACTAGCCTTGAGCTGAAGAGCTGAGGGACAGCGCCCAGGCCCAGAGTTCAGGCCCCACGACTGGACCCAAAAAAAAAAAAAAAAAAAAAAAAAAAAAGTGGTAGAGTGTTACCCTTGAACACAAACAGGCTCGGGGACAGTACCCAGGCCCTGAGTTCAAACCCCACAACAAAACATAGGACATAACCAGTGCCTAAGTTCATTAAAGGGAGTTACAGTCACTAAAGTGATAAAACACTGAAAAGTAGCAACCTATTCTCACCTTCCCAAGTAACATCCCCAATGACCAGGAAACAGCTCTTAAAATTAAATAAATCTCTTCACAGTATCAATGTCAATAAACTGTGATTACAAATAAACTTTTCAAATGCTTATGTTTAAAAAACTGAAAATATTATCAAAACAATACTGCACTCCAGAAAAAATATGCAACACCTGTTATATTTTAAATTTGTGAAGCATTATGAAATTTTGTACTACTTAAATCCACGCTCTCAAAGAACCACAAAAATTCTCATAATTACGAAGGAATGCATCGAATTAAAATTTAGCCTACACTTTAAAATGCAGGTCAATTGAACTACTTACCTTATAGGTTTTTTGAGGGGAAACCTGGAACAAAGAAAAAAAGTATTTGTAGTTATTTCACTTATAAGCTTCTTGTATTAAGTTTATTAGCCATACTACACCAGAGTAAGGAATATAAATCATATGCTAACTTTCCTAAGGCAAGATTTAACAGACAGGTAGAAGAAGAAGGCAGACACCATTTTTAGTTTCTTTATCTCATCCAATTTCTCCCTTGGTTATTTATGTTTAGCTTCAATAACATAAATTTTTTAAAAATACTTTTGGAGTACGATCAGCTATTAAAAATGCATTCCAAAAGTAGAAAACAAACAGTACTTTCTTTTCTGCTTTCTTTTGTTCTAGGGTTCTGTTAGCTGAAAGAAGGAAAAGCATTTATTTCCTACTGGTTGTCTTTCTTCTGAAGAAACATTACAGAGGCTTCTAGATAAACTCTAATACTATACCAAAACAGCTGGAGAGGGTGCTCTTCCAATCTTCTTTTGATTTGTCTTTCTTAAATTATTTCAGTCTATGGTATTTTATGTAAAGATTATTTCATCTGAGAATAGTACTTTACCAAGCACATCTATAAAAGCACATGTGTTTGTGTTTTAGTAAATTCTGTTTTTTAGTGGTTTCAACAGGTTACAGCAATTTCACATGGTTTTACAAGAAGACAGTAACAAAGGTAGTAAGAAATATGCCTAAAACAATGATAATTGAATGGTTGTATCTCATTTAGCATGGAGGCTTCAAAAGCAAACCTAAAAGTTTTGCAAACAATTTCTTATAAAACTTTTTTTTTCTCCTGATACTGGGGCTTGAACTCAGAGCCTTGAGATCTCTTGCTTGGCTTTTCTGACTCATTGCTGGTGCTCTACCACTGGAGCCATGCCTCCACCTCCTCCTTTTAACTCTTATTTAAATCAAACTGATCGAGAGAAAAAGGCAAAGAATCTAAAGGACTCTTCATCTGTGATGGTACATTAACACACAAGCAAGTTAACAGTAACATGGCAGAGTGCTTCTGAGACAGAAGAACACTGCCCTAAAGAGCATCTGGATACAAAAGACATCCAAATCTTCACATGAGCGTTCCTGTGTAGTCTGTCCATCCATGTTGAGTGGGTGTGAAAGGGAATGAGAATCTGTCCTCCCCAACTTACATCCCCATATAGGGTTTGAACTTGGAGCTCTAGAGAGCCCTCAGCAGGCACTCTACTGCTGAGCCACACCTCCAGCTCCAGTATGTCTTTTAGTATAGAGAGGATTATAAATGGTTAGCAAAGGAATCCAGATTGAGTTTTTACCATCCTTAGCTACTCCGACCCCTCGCATTATAAAAGCCCCTGCCCCCAAACAATGCTATTTGCGTCAAGATCTGTAATATCCAAAGGGATTCTGGCAAAGAGTCCTGGCAGTTCCCAGATTACTGATTGTAAACCAGTTTCCTGAGCTATTTTCTCTCACAAAGGAAGGGAAAAGGAAGGAAAATACGAAGTCAAAAATGGAATGAGAAGGAAAAGAACAAGGACCATCACAGAAAAATCATAATCTAGTGACTATTTTATAAAGTACAGATGAAGCACTTAAATTTTGAAAGATTAAATCACAGTATTTTTCTCCAATCACTGAATTCCATTTTATTGTATCTGCAAAAAAAAAGGATCTAAGAAAACAAACATGCTCGTAATATTTGCCTATATGTAACAAAACCAAAAACCTTGGTGTCTATTTTTTCCAAGTTCCTCTACTTTGACTAAGAAAGTTACCAAAACAATCCCACAGTTTAATAAAAGTGTCAACTAGCTGCAGAATAATGAAATGGGAGTGTACTTCAAGAGCTGGAAACAGGAAGCCAGAACCTCCAACAAAAGTTGAAGATTTGAGACATCAAATCTGACCACAGAAATTTAAAATAGCAAATTATGAAGTAAATTGCAAAAGTGCAAATTGCGGGGGAAAAACAAGCATCGGTATGATTAAGAATGGAAGCAGAAGCTAAGGAAGAGGATTACGAAGATGAGTCAGAAAAGACAAAGGGCCAAGGGAGAAAGGATAATAAATACACTACCAAATGCCACAGAAAGGCAGGTCTGAAGGCTAAAAAGTGGCCCTGCTTAACAGCCTGGGCTGATGACCCAAGCCCAGGCTTTCAATGCTTTCAAGACCTGTCTCCTGCCATGGAATCAGGAAACAGCTGGTTATCCATTTGTGTAGAACAGTTGTATTTGAATACCGATAAAATACCAGAGGTACCTAATGGAGTTGTCTGGCTTTTGAAAATATGTGATGACTTGGACATTTAGCCAACACTGAACATATTTGTGTATATTTATATATGTTTGTATTTTTCTAGATATTGAAGAAACACAGTGAAAAATATGGAAAAGGTTATCAGGAGTTTGAGTCACTGTGATCAAGGTGATTAGATGCTCTTACTTTTGATAGCTGTAAAGAGTAAAATTTTATAATCAGAAACTCACCCAAAAATTATTCAGAATATATTTGTTCATTACATTCAACCTTTTGCTTATTAAGTTTTGGCTCTAATGCAAATGTCTGTGGACATTACTACATAGTACATAGAGGCCATCTCAACCGTTATTATGGTATAGAGAAAAATGTGCTTTAGTGGCTAAAGAGCCCTAATTTAATAAATAGTGAATACTAGAGTAAAACTTGTACTGTAGCCAGGTTTCACTTTGACTTTATTATTGGGATATTCTTATAAGATTGCCACTTTTTTTTTTTTTTTTTGGGTCCGGTCATGGGGCCTGAACTCTGGCCTGGGCACTGTCCCTCAGCTCTTCAGCTCAAGGCTAGCGCTCTACCACTTGAGCCACAGCGCCATTTCCGGCTTTTTTCTTTTTGCATATGTGGTGCTGAGGAATCGAACCCAGGGCCTTGAGCATGCAAGGCAAGCGCTCTACCACTGAGCCACCTTCCCAGCCCCTGCCACATTTTTTTGTCATCACTTATTTGCTTGTATTAAATCATTTTACTAGAAATCATATTCAGTATTGTAACAATAACTGCAATAAAAACTGTTCTGAGGCCATGTGAGAGGTCAAATTCCACACGCCAGCGTTAATTCCCACCCTCCCCTTTCCTGACCAAGGGTTTCACTGCTACCGCAGTGGATGGTCATGACATGAAATTTGGGACTCTAAAGCCAGGGGCCAGTGGCTCACGCCTGTAAGCCTAACTACTCAGGAGGCTGAGATCTGAGGATCATGGTTCAAAGCCAGCTAGTCCAGGAAAGACTGTGAGCCTCTTATCTCCAATTAGCCATCGGAAAACCTGTGGCCCAGTGGTTCAAAGTGATAGAGTGCTTGCCTTGAGCAAAAGAGCTCAACTCCCAGGCCTAGAGCTCAAGACTTGTGACAAAAACCAAAATAATTTTTTTTAAAAAAGGAATTTAAGACTCTAAATGGTTATTCTTTTCTTCCCTCCCTCCTTCCTTTCCTCTCTCCCTCCCCTTGTATCACTCTCTCTCTCCTCCTCTCCCTTTCCTCTTTTTCTGTGTATCCAGTACTGAGGCTTGAACTTGTGGCCTCTCGCTCCCACTCAGCTTTTGACAACATGGCCGTCCTACCAGCTGTGACAGAGCATGTCTCTGCTTGAGCCAGGCCTCCAGTCCCAGATGGTTAGTCTTAATGAGGGATGACTGAAATGAAAGGGAAGAAGCTAAGGAAATTTTATCAGCCTTGGATAGTGGTCAAGTTTATTAGTAGACAAAGCAGGGCATGATGGTACTAATCTCAGTACTTGAGAAACTAAAACAGGAAGACAGGGAATTCTAAGACAGCAGGAGGCTACACAGGAAGATACAGTCTCAAAATCTGAACCAAACCAAACAAAAAAAGATCATTTGTAGACAAACAATGTTAGCTAGTGAATTTAAATGTAAATTTAAATGAAATACAGCCTCATCTCACTGTCACCCATGCCAGCAAGGAGAGTTCTACCTGCAAATTAGGCAATAGGATATTCTAAGGTTCAAATCTCAGGACACGATCATGGCAGTGCAGGAATCAGAAAAAGACAGGGTGGGTAGGGAATAGGTGTTATATGCTGCTGGTACAATTAGTGTGAATTTATGTAATTCCAAGCCTAGAGCACAGAGAATTCCTCAGAAAAAAATATATAACTGAGTTTATATGCTATATCACAACATAATAGGAGCTTGAACTTAACCAAGTTGCTTAACTTTTCCACCATCATCTGTAAAGCAAAGATAACAGTGGTATTTACCTCACAAATCTTGAGGATTAAATTAGGAAATGAGAAGCAGCACCTAGCAAGTCTACCACTTAATTATTATTAAGTACCACTTAATTATTAGCTATTAGGAAGAACAAAAATCATAATCTGAACATTAGTGACATGCATTCAAATTAAACAGAAAAGAATAAATTTAAACACTAACAATACTCAAATAGCTGCTTGGCTCAATAAAATGCCTAGAAATGCAGAGTTCAAAGCCAGTGGTAAAACCACAGATTTAACTCAAGAAGTTATAGTGTATAAAATTAGCATCAATACTCAAATGAAAAAACTTCCTAGAGGCCACAGGGTAAACAAAGTTTTTCCTGACAATGGGGTTTTGGGTTTTTTTTTAAACCTTGTGAAGTTAGCTGAGCACAATCACCACTAAGTAGTTAAATCAAGTTCACTAATTCTCCTTTAAAATATCAGGAATGGATGACCAAGAATTCTATCGGCTAGCTTTTCATTTATCTATACCTATGAGATAAATAGCTTATGGTATAACATTGAAACTGATATGAATCTGAACCATGCTCTAGTTTATTTTTTTCACAACACAGAATAGCTGAGTATTTGTCTGTCATACATAAAAGTATAGCACATAGTGCTCTCTTCTGCTGAGAGATTTATGAATGGCGAGATATACTGAACAAAAAGCAGTAAGTGGCCAGCCACATCCCCACCACCACTAGCACCCACAAAGGATCATAAACCCCTTTTCTACCTGTGTGGGACACAGCTGGTCTCCCTTAGTTATCAAAAGAACTAGA